AATATCAAAATGATTCATCGGACAGCTTTCTCCTCCGTTTTTATACATATCTCATTTCTTCGTACTATCTCTCAGCAAGCAACGAGCCTTCAGGCTAGGTAGGAACTTTAGGTACTTCACCTTATGAAGAGGTTCACTCACTGTGAAATTCTAGTCATCTCGTCAAACCTTACATTACATGTACAATGAGAAAGTATCCATCCATTTTCGATATCCAATAAAAGCTCAACATCTGGCATTTGAGAGCATCTTTAAGTTCATTAAGAAAGTAAACGCTCAATAAAACATCCTGATTCCCGCAATTGATTTTGTTTCAGTCTTCTGTGTGCGTCGCAAAAGTCCTAGACAAGAGACGTAAACACTAAAAAAATACAGAGCTAGAATAGAAGTCCTCAGTTTAAAGTATGCTTTATATACATTAATCACCCACTAAAAATAATGCAAAATAACTGATATTGATTATCACCTCACGCGTAGTGAGCATAGAAAACAGATGCATGATGTCTGTAATATTCAGTCATTGACAGGTGTAGATTTACCCTGGGGATACTTCATGTGTTGAAGGAGTGTTAGGTGCAGATAATGAGAGAATCATGAGGAGAAAATAACGATATCAAAAGTGAGCTAATGACTCAGTAAACATATGAAATATGCCATTCGTTATTGATCGCAACAACCGATAGCAACTTGAAGGAACACAAGCATGAGATCGGTGTACTCTGATGAAAGTAACTAGAAATTATTACAAAAAGTTACAAATTAGTTGCATTCTAACAATACGCGCGCTTTTCGAGCTGGAAGTTTAGTCCTAACGTGATTTACATTTCTGAAACTTTTGCTGTGTTCTTACGCAACAAAAGTACCATTTTCGATCTAAAGAATCTATTCTGAGCTATACGCTCAGTAGATTACTTCTTTTTTTGTGTTTCACTGAACTTAATAGTTAACTGTGGTTTTGCCTCTGCTCACTATCGGTTTTTTTATAGTTTTCACGTAAAGACTAGCTTTAGCTTATCGTTAACTGTTTTTATACATTTTTGCCAGTTTTTGTTTACTGTATCTTATTTTAACGGTCCTAAAATTAATGCTTGTATTTTTAAGACAGTCTAAATCATTAGCCATGAAAAATTCATGCAAAAGACCCAAAAAGCCCAAGCGTCCCCGCCGAAACTGAACATCCCAAGCACCGTGCAGAAATCAATTGATGCTTTGGCTGCACAGTCTACCCCGAAGACTGTCCGCGCGGTCATCACTGAGCCCAGGAATCAAAAACGCGCTTTAACATCCGAACAACAAGATACCAAACCTAGACGCCCTGGAAAACCTGGGAAATCAATTACGGTTCGTGACTCTGTCATAATCATGAACCTTATTGACAACCCCGAACTTCCTCTCAGTTTGCAGGACAAAAATGATAGGATGCTCTGCGGAGAATTAAACAAGAGGCTTGCACTCCCTAGAATAGAGCCTTTGACCGTCACACGGCACACTCGGGGGAAGGACTCTAACCACCTAAACCACCCGAGGCTGCTTCGTGTTACACTTAAGAATGCCTCCGACGTAGAGGACGTCCTGCTAGCCAGTCACTTACTGAAATCCGATGAGAACGTAAGAATACTGCCCGACATACCGTATTCTGAACGAAATCTCATCCGAAACATCCATAAGGAATCTCGCGAGGCGCTTTCCCGTGGACGAAATATCATTTTGCAAGGTGTACCGGAAAATATGGACCCAACTCAAGCAAACTCTGATATTCGGAAATGGAAATTCATTAAGCATTCCTTAAAACTCAAGAACATATTGACCCAACAGGTAATGCGACTAGCCAAGAGAGACAGAGACTCTAGGCCCCGGCTATTGAAGATAAACTTCTCCTCCCACATGGCAGCTGCAACTCTGGAAGCATTTCGTGCCAATAGACGTCAGTTGCCAACTGGCATCCATATGCATCCGGATAGGCCCCACGACAGCAGGATCAAGCACAAGCGAAAGCTGGAGCTGACAATTCCAATCGTGGACTGTCTTGATCATGAAAAAAACGTGTAAAGGCAGGGACTACCAACTTGGTAAACATCGTATAGGTAGGCTACCTGTCCACTCACGCACGGCTCATATAGACAAACAGGAAGAAGCTCACGCGTTCCAAATTGAAAGCATAGACTTTTCATACACGAACGCCGCGAGCTTTCCAAATGAAATGGATGAGCTACGTGAACTTAGCAACGTTAATGATGCTCATCTGATAGAAATATCCGAAACTTGGATAACGTCTCAGTTTACGGACCAGGAGCTAGCAATAACTGGAATGTCTTTATTTCGCAGCGACAGAAAAACAAGAATGTTGTGGGTGGGGTAGCACTGTACATACGTTCATGCCTGGATGCGCACCAACTTCACAACCAAAAGTTTCTCAATCTTGATGAGTCAGTATGGTGCTCAGTAAGATTATCTACCACCTCGAGGTGTCTAGTTGGTGTCATCTACAGGAAGCCCACTGCCGACATTGAGTATGACAAACGTCTGCTGGAAGGATTAACTCGCTCTACGCGTCTCGGATCCTCTCAAATCCTGATTCTAGGGGATTTCAATCTCCCTAGAATCAACTTCGTGGAACAGACATACATTGGAGGTGACAACTCTACTGAAGCTCTGTTCTTCAACCTCATCGGTGACCTGGGATTATTCGAAAATGTGAAATCGGCAACTCGTTCGAGAAACAGTCAGACGCCGTCGCGCTTGGACTGCATATTCACAAATGAAGAATTCCTAGTTGATGACCTCTCAATCCTTGCTCCCTGGGGAAAAGTGATCACGCCATCTTATCATTCAGCTTTGTAAGCAAAACGGAGCTAAGATATCCTACTAGCAACAAGCGCTGGAACTTCAAACAGTTGAATGTGTTAGCTATACAGGATTAGCTACAACAGGTGTATTGGGATGTTCACCCTCAACTTGAAGTGGATGCTCATTGGGATTTTTTACTGCACACCATCTTATGTGCTACTGAGCATTCAGTTCCTCAAATGGTCCCAAAAAGCTACAAGCAACCTGCAATCATCAAGAACCGCACTCGTCGTTTGCTAAGCCGCAAAAGGCACTGTTGGGCCGAATATAAACGAACCGACAATAACGATGCATACAGGCAATATAAACACATAAGGAACATATGTTCAAAGGCAATAAGAGAAGACAGGCTTCAGTTCCATAACAAGCTTATCGATAATTTCGTCTCCAATCCGAAAAGCTTATTCAGTTACGCAGCTTCTCTCCGACAAGTCAAAACTGGAGTTTCTCAACTGCTTGGTCCTAATGGCCCGACCAATAACGACGGTGATGCTGCTAACCTTTTGGCTGAACAGTACTCCCAGACATTCCAGCTAACCCACATAAACTATACTGACGAAAGCTTCACCTGCACCTGTACAGGACTTTCCGAAGTGGACCTCAATGCTGACCTGCTGCTCCGTAAACTGCAGCACCTAAGAAAAGACACTTCTCCTGGTCCGGACATGGTTCATTCTGCTGCCTTGAGGGAAGCAGCTTCAATCCTGGCGACACCACTTAGTGTGATGTTTGCACACTCGCTAAGCAGAGGTAAACTACCGGAAATTTGGAAGTTGGCCCACATCACACCATATTTCAAAGGAGGTCGACGCAGTGAACCCTCAAGCTACCGACCAGTGGCCCTTCTCTCCATACCTCCCGAAATTATGGAATCCCTAATATACGATGGTATACTAGAATACTTATCATCCTCAAAGTTCTTCTCACCTCAACAGCATGGTTTCAGAAAAGGTCATTCTTGTATGACCAACCTGCTGACTGCGGTGGATAGATGGACAACCATCCTTGATCGCAAGGGGAAGGTTGACGTCATCTATCTGGACTTCTCAAAAGCTTTTGATAGGGTCAACCACGTATTTCTTATCCGGAAGCTTAGACGATTAGGTATAAAACCCCTTTGGTTGACTGGCTCTCTTCATATTTAGAAAACCGACACTTTAAGGTCAGGGTTAACTTCACTCTCTCTCAGGCTATGGAATGTCCTAGTGGGGTCTCCCAGGGCTCAATACTAGGACTTCTTCTCTTCTTGATTTTTATTAACGATCTTCCTCAAAAAGTTTCATCTGACTTAATGCTTTTTGCTGATGATGTGAAACTTTGGAGACAGATACGTAATCATAATGATATACTTGTTCTTCAGGAGGATCTGACCCGACTTCAATGTTGGGCAGACGACAACGGACTTACCTTCAACACTTCAAAGTGCAAAGTAGTCCATCTGCGACATGTTGCAGACTATAGTTATAACTTAGGTAACTCCCCTCTAGAAGTTTCCCAAGTCGAAAAAGATTTAGGAGTGTTGGTACCCTATGACCTGAAATCGTATGCGAACTGTGACAAAAACGCCTCTCAAGCAAACCTTGCACTGGTAACATTGAAGCACATTTTTGGCCAGTTAGACGGTAGAACCTTCCACATAATCTTCAACAGTTTTATTCGCCCCCATTTAGAGTACGGAAACATAGTATTTCCTCCCTCCCTGCAAAAGGATAAGGACACTCTGGAACGTATACAACGTCGAGCCACGAAATCAGTTCGGGGACTCAAATTCAAACCTTACTAAGAGCGCCTCCAATCACTTAACATTTACCCGTTAGAGTACAGGCGTCTTAGAGGTGACCATCTTATGACTTACAGTATCCTTAATACTTCTGGTCATCCCCTTAAACATCTTCTTAAGCTTAGTCATAACACTAACCTAAGAGGTAACACCCAGAAATTGGAGACCCTATACAGCAGGACAGACTGCAGACATAACTTCTACTCCGTTAGAGTTGTCAAGTGCTGGAATTCGCTGCCGACTGAGCTAGTCCAAGCGACCTCCCAGGAGTCCTTTAAGAGGAAACTTGACTTATTCTTAAGGACTAAGGATAACATATTATTATGATTTGCCAAATTCTTTTTTTCCCTCTATTATCGTTCATATACCTAGGTTTTTGCCTGGAGGTATTGGTGATACACTGCTAATAGACACGGAAGCCTGTTAAGCGAAAGCTTCTTTTATTCCGTCCTCAACCATTTGAATTCTTCTAATGTATACTTTCAGCCGTCGGTCAAGGTCGTTAGGGACAAAGAGGTAAATTTGACTAGGCAAAATCTATGTAGACTATCGTCTTGCTTTTTTATGCGTAAGTATTTTATGCTAATAAACTCCATGGAATAAACCATATGATATTAATTGATATGCATAATGGCAAAAATCTCACGCCTTCGTAAAAACGTGCTCATGAAGACTTGGGTTCATAATAATTTTGCAATAGGATCTCAGTACTCATAAATGTTTGTCCCAGAAAACTATGAACCACTTTATAATCTGGCAGGACATTGGACGACGAAACTGATCAAAACTATCCAGTTTGGCATATGTATCCATAAATATATGACCTCAGCTGTGTTCGAACAAGAATTTGATGACTCGTCAGCGATGAGAAACTCAATAGCCGAGTTCGGGCTGCAAAATAATCTCGGCGAGGTTAAAACTTATGAACGAGTCAATCACGTACAAAATAACATGCCTCGGGTTTTAGCGCGAAATTCACCCCTCCATTTGACTAACTACAGTTTTGGCAGTCTCACCATAATTTCATATACCGCTATTCTTACTGGCTCATGTGTCTGTACTTCTATATTTAGTCACCGAAGAACCAATACTTAGCATATTTCACTGTTACTGGTACAATTATTGGTTTTCGATCAGCTATGTGTATTTCTAAATCTTAAAATCTAGTCTGTACATTTACAATCCAATTGAAGTTCGAGTAGTGTTTCAGACCGAAATTGCAGTTAATCTCACCGTGATTTATTTTTCATCTGACTAATGACTTATACGTATTTACTGCAGGAAACCTAATGGGATGCTCAATTTATGTGGGATCATTGGGAACGCTACCCTTCTAAAATATTTAAGAAAGCACTTATCTGTCTTTTGAACTACTTTCACTGACATACGTCACAAGTAACATTAATGAAGAGCATACACTGGATACACAGTTAACTATCATGCCCTAACTTCAGTGTACGATGAAGCACATCAGTTGTTAATATACATTCAGCATTCTGATATCTTTGTACTACGGTCACAGTAATTTACAAAAAGCCTAGTCAGCCTGTATGTTTTTGCGGTATTGCAATCAAGCTATTCAGATGAACCGCACACTAGTTGGTAGTATGAGCTAGTTCTAAGTCTATAAAGTACTTACTCTCCTTCGAATTGCAAATTTGCAGAAAACCAACAAGTTCCAACTGTTACCATGGCAGACTTATGTATACTGTAAGAGGGTACTCTATTCAGGGCTGCTCATTCTTTTCTTGGTTTTCGGATATTAGAAGTATCTTTACTTTCTATTTATTTGTTTAAACACATGAATATCGGTGCAATGGGCACCAGATATATGCGCCACACAGAATGATGAGAATGGGAAGAGAAAAGAGGTAAGATGCATACATAAAAAATAAGAGTAATGATGAGGGAAACCGAAATGTACGACCATTCTTTATGAAGAAAGTAAAAGGTTACAGCAGGATCGCCACTGGCTTTCATTGTGGGCCATATCGGATAATGTCTCTAGCCACTGTGTCGCGCCATCCCTTGGACCCCAGCCAGGGAGTCGTGAAGGACCAACAGAAGCTAGCCCTTTGCAGCTTTTTTTTACACCACGTCTTACACTGGCCACCTCTCCGTCTTTTCCAACTAATAATGCACGACGTGCAATTCTCTGGGACGAAATTCGTTGAACATGTTCAGGCTACCGAAGTCGGCGTTTCAAGATGGTGACACCAATTGGATTGTCGTCTCTGCACCCAAACACACGATGCCGAGCCTCTGCATTACTAACATGGTGTTGCCAATGGATGCCAGCAATCCTTCGGAGACAACGATGATCGAACACAGAGAGACGTCTAACATCTTCAACGCGAAGAGGCCAGGTTTCACAAGCATAGAGCAAAACTACTCACACCAACGCGTTGCAGATCAGACCTCTTACAGCCAGACTAACATCACGAAGGCGCCAAAGATAACCCAAATTGGCATAAGCCGCTCTGGCTTTCACTATACTTGCATCGATCTCATCACTCACGCCACCACCAGCACTTATATAGCTACCTAGATACACGAACTTCTCAACTACTTCAATCTGCTCACTACCCAGGGTGAGTATAGGATTAGAATGCTGCCAGTCTCGTAGTGCTTTTCGCTTCGAAGGTGCAAAGCACATACCGTACCTGCGGACACCGATTGCCAACTGATTAAGTGTGGATTGCATGGCTTGGGCATTATCGCACAGTAAGACAGTATCATCCGCATACTCAAGGTCGAGAAGTCTTTCTCCAGGCAGCAGATCTACACCGCCATTACTTACATACATCAGAGCTGTTTCCAGGATGTCGTCGATGGCAAAGTTGAAGAGGAATGGTGAGATCGGGCAACCCTGCCTAACCCCACTGCTCGAATGGAACAAGGGAGAAAGGTGGTTGTATGCCCTCACTCTGCCTGAGGTGTTCGTATACAGGGCCTTTAAGATGTTAATAAACTTCTCAGGCACACCCTTCAATAGAATCCCAGAGAACAGTCCTGTCCAACGAATCGAAGGCAGCCCTGATATCAAGAAACACCACGATTGTTGGCCTGCGATGTGACGGCCGAGAATGGGGAGGGCTCGCCCTCTCTCTCGAAACGCTCTCACATGGCGACGCGTATACAGCCTCTACCAGGGAAGTCCTACTCACTGCCTTCTCGTGGCGGGGGTGTTGTTTACAAAATTGAGAGGACGAAAAGCTAATGTCCAGCGTTTTAACCGGGTTGGTGGACACAGAAAGTCCACCTAGGGAAGTTAGAAAACCCTGATTCCAAACCAATGGTGCACATGGGCTCCAGTATCCTGAGGGAACAAATGGCGTATGAACCAATCGTCGGGCACCGGTTCCCATGGGACTGCATGTCCTCACGACGCTCCACTGCCTTGTGGATCAGACCATCATGTAGAAGGCTCCGAGTGTGTCCCTCTAGGAAAACCACTTGCTTCAGTCCAAACACCCGGGAAGCACCATAGCCCTCACACAAATAAATGAAATGACAATTTGTGTGGCGCATTTATATCTGGCGCCCCCTTGTACCAATATTTATGTGTGCAAATAATAATAATGTCAGCGTAAATTTTTGGAAGGTTATATGGGCCGTTTATTTCTATACTACCGCCTCCTGCGATAGTTTCGGTCAGTTATTCGTACAAACTATCTAACTGATTTCTATAGAAGTAACCTCAGGTTTTAATCATAGGCAACTGCGTGCATACTTCAATCAAGCCCCTCACATTTTTTAACAATTATGTGGTTGGTTTTGGAAAATCATACTAACTGTTTTATTAGTTACTTTATTAGAGTCATAGATAAACTTAACTGGCAGTCATGAAATTAGTTCATAATTCCTCCTCATTGACAGACAAATCGGTAATGTTTGCGAAACGACCTATAGTCGGATGAATGCAGTATCTAGCTGGTGTGTCGAAATACTTAAGGGTATAATTGACTGCAATTCAAAAATCGTACCAAGTAACCTATCTTGAGAAGTTATGACTGACACTCCATGGAGCGACATACTTGTGGACTGTTGTCATAACAATATCCCCACTAACAAACCTGAAAACTACACGGTCACACCTAACGTATGAATAGAAATAGACAAAATTTGAACAGCTCGAAACTCATGGTGATCCGTGATCCCCGCAAAAAATACTAGATAGGAAGACATTATAGCTACCTCTTAGTATTTGCTTTTGTAGTTAGTACTGTGCATCACTGTCTTTATTCTTGTTTCAGCCTAACAATACACAAAGTTAATCCTGGAAATCTACAAAAAATAAAATGCAAGGCTATGCTTCTTATGCTGGAGGCCCAGTTGGGCTTGGTAACTAGCCTGTTGTTTTATATTTTTAATTAGGTGATCCTAACAGTAAGTATATTTCGAGTACAGAACGCAGCAACGTAATTTCGAAATTCGTCCAGGAGAAACTTATCAGTGAATTATGTGTAGACGAGTGGAAAGATTGGCGAAAGTGCATACGAGGAAAACGAGGCGAGTGGTTTGGTACTTGGAATTGTAAACCCAAATATTTGATATTTGAACAGTGTCAGATGAGGTAAGATAATTTTACCTAGAAAAAAAAACGTTATCGCTCAAACAAATAAAACTAAGTTTGACCACTTATATCGTAAGCCATCTCAATAATTTGCACAATGAGTCATTTAAATACACTTCTTTTTTCTTCAGGTACCTTCAAGACCTAGAACAACTAAAAAAATTTGAAGAGGAATACTTAAGCTTGCGTACTGAATATCGAAAAACTGGTGTGGGTCGCGCTTTCATGACGAAAGAACGGATACGAGAACTGTGCGAGTTGTAAATACCCCCTCTTGTAATTGTAGCACACTTCAGCTCGTAAATATATATATATCTATGATTATGTGTATTTATCCAAATGTCAATTTGAAAAAGAGTAATACGAGAGGAAGATGAACATAAGCTTTCATGATTTATGATAACATAAGTAAACGTAATTAATGCAAATCATGCGGGAATTTTCAGTTTTAACTCCGGAGTTAAACAACAGTAAAATGCTTTACAATCCCTAATGGCAAAACTTAATTGAACTGACGCGAGACGAATGATACTAACAGAAAGTTTAACATGAGGAAGGAAATCACATACAAAACACCAAAATGGTGATTTCTTTTGTAAATGAAACAAGTTAGACGAAGATAGGAGGTCATCGACATAATGCATAGTAAGATAACTTAGTGATTAGGAGGTTTCCAGACGCAGATTTCGCGCGTTAGCACGTAAAAATAAAGAATAGAGTAGTCCTATTGATTGGAATAACTTTCCACTTCTATGAATGCTAGTATTTTCTGTTTTATTATTGGGGGGTAGTGCCGAACATTGAAGCTTCCCGACGACGCCTGTGAGAAGCTTCATGCTTCAATGGTTGTTTCTGACTCTGAGGGCTTGGTGCGGAGTGTTGCACTGGAGGAGGTAAAGCTGATGGTGCAGGAGCTGCTTCTTGTTTCCTGTGGAAGGAAAACATTGTGTAAAATATACAATAATTTATTAACCAATTATAAACATCTTTTCATACTCAACATGTCAATTTTATACCAGCGAGGTCATCTTTTATATACTTAGTGTGATATATATCTCAAGGACTCACTCATCTGTAAGTGTCATTAACCCACTTAGAATGAATATAATCGGTAAGGATTATAGGCTACATATCAATGAATTGATAATTTGGATGACTTCTAAAGTAAACATGGTCCTGGAAATTAAGCAAATACTTGGAGTATGTTTCCTTAGGACATACTGTTAAAGGAGTTGATATTCAGAAGGAAAGGGTTCCTATAGTACTTATCTTTAGTCGCTTTTTTGCACATAAATTTGCGTTTTAAGGATAAGGCGATCAACATATACAATTACTTTGACTTTCAATCACAAACTAGGTATTTCTGAAGAACAGCACTACAGCAACAGTTCTCGTTTGAGTGAATTTTTACCAGGTGAAATTGTTTTTTGTGTATCTCGGATTGATAAGTGTTTCTCATCGCTAAAAGGTCAAGAGAAAACAGATGCCTCCAAGATATGAAAAAATCAGGTGAAATCGGCAGATCCTAATGATTTGAAACCTTGAGTGACATAGCTCACAATCGTTCTGAATGGCGAAGGTGCATTCACTTTGTCTTTTTCGAAGACCTGAGTCCCAAATACGGAAGCTTGAACCAATGTACATGTCAGAATTTACGTTGCATATGACCGACTGTTAAGCCCTAACGTAAAGGTTTTCAATGGTACCTCATAAACCGTGATTTAGCCGTGGTTGGTTAACCAAAAAACCTTCAGTAAGGCAGTGAACGCGTCTAGTACACCTTTTTAATGAGACCAATAATGCTTTTGCTTTACTAATAAACTATCTGACTAGAACTATGTTGCGAACTATGGCCCGAAAACTTTACATGCCATAGGATGTATCGGGCAACAGTTTTCGTAGAGCAACTATTTACTTTGGATAAGTTAAAATGTTTCGATAGGAACGAGCTGTGAGCAGTGATTCGATTAACGTAAGACATGATTTACACTACGTGAATCAAAAGTGATTTAAATACTCATTATACATATGTACTCTCATTTTTAAGCGTTTGTAGTACATATTGTTCGTCTCCTTAATTTTAGATTGCCTTGTGAGGGCTGTGATATTTCCCAACTGTTTAACAATGAAATGAAGCAACAAAAGAGAGTGCTTAAGTCTGATTTAACTTATGAGTCTGCTTTTCACTTGTAATGAATTAAATGCGGTTGTATTGTAGGAACTTAGCAATCAAATCAAAATCTTGGGTGATGCATATCGACTGTAAATGCTACATTGACGTGGTGGCCGGTACCGCCTACTGTAATGACCCAATCGAGTTACGGTGACTGGAATACTTATTCCCTTAAGTTTTACTTTTCCAAGTGGTTCGATTGAGTAGAATTAAAGACGAAAGCATAGTATTAACTTCTGAGGTCATACTGCCAACTGTACTGTGATTCTAATAGGGTATTTCTCATGAATGACCAACATTTTTAGCTATAATACCTTCTCAAAATGGAAGAGTGGTTAGAAAAGGTCATGTTTAAAATAGTGCACGATACACCATTTTTAGCGTGATCTGAAAACTACCGATCTAATACATCAAAAACTAATCATGAATAGGTCGTGTACAACTGACCTCAGTCATCTGTTTCTTGAGCGTTGGAGTCGTGGTTTTATGACCTGTCAGACCACTACTACTAGCCTAGTCAAAAAATAACCTTTTACAGTATTTGAGTCCGGGAAGTGATAAGTGGCCCTATACTTACTTACTTACGCCTGTTACCCCTCGTCGAGGAGCATAGGCCGCTCACCAGCATTCTCCATCCAACTCTGTCCTGAGCCTTCCTTTCCAGTTACTATTCAGCCTTTTCATATCGGCTTCTATTTCCCGGCGTAGTGTGTTCTTTGGCCTTCCTCTTTTCCGCTTCCCTTCCGGATTCTAAGTTAGGGATTGAGTCGTGATGCACATTGGTGATTTTCTTAATGTATGTCCGATCCACTTCCAACGTCTTTTCCTTATTTCCTCTTCAGCTGGAAGCTGGTTTGTCCTCTCCCATAAAACGCTGTTACTGATAGTATCCGGCCAGTGGATGTTGAGTATTTTGCGTAGACAACTGTTTATAAATACTTGTACCTTCCTGATGATGGCCGTAGTAGTTCTCCACGTTTCAGCTCCATACAGTAGGACTGTCTTGACGTTCGTATTAAAGATTCTGACCTTGAAATTGGTTGAGAGTTGTTTTGAGTTCCATATGTTCTGCAATTGTAGAAATGCTGCCCTTGCTCTGCCAATCCTCGCCTTTACATCTGCATCTGATCCTCCTTGTTTACCAACGATGCTCCCCAGGTACTTGAATGTTTCCACCTCTTCCAGAGTTTCGCCATCAAGTGTGATTGGGTCGGTGTTCTCCGTGTTGCATTTGAGAATCTTGCTTTTTCCTTTGTGAATGTGGAGACCTATCGATGCGGAGGCTGCTGCTACATTTGCTGTCTTCATCTGCATTTGGTCGTGTGTATGAGAGAGGAGGGCTAGATCATCTGCGAAGTCCAAATCATCTAATTGATTCTGAGAAGTCCATTATATTCCGTATTTCCCTTCAGATGTCGAATTCTTCATAATCCAGTCAATCACTAGAAGGAAGAGAAATGGGGAGAGTAGACAGCCTTGTCTGACTCCGGTCCTTACTGGAAATGCACCTGTCAGCTGTCCTCCATGCATCACTTTGCACTGTAATCCATCGTATGAGTTTTGGATAATGTTGACGATCTTCTGAGGAACTCCATAGTGTCGAAGAAGTTTCCATAATGTTCTCCTGTCCACGCTGTCAAACGCCTTCTCGTAGTCAACAAAGTTGACGTATAGTGATGAGTTCCACTCAACTGATTGTTCAACGATGATCCGTAGTGTCGCAATCTGGTCTGTGCACGACCGATCCTTACGGAATCCAGCCTGATGATCCCTAAGTTCGGCGTCTACTGCGTCTTTCATCCGATTCAGCAGCACTCTGTTGAAAACTTTTTCTGGTACTGATAACAAACTGATGCCTCTGTAGTTCTCACATTGGCTCAGATCTCCTTTCTTTGGTATCTTGATGAGATATCCTTCTTTCCAGTCCGTTGGCACTTGTTCCTCTTCCCAAATCTTTTTGAATAGAAGGTGAAGCATGTTTGCAGTTATTTCAATATCTGACTTCAGTGCTTCTGCTGGTATATTGTCAGGTCCTGCCGCCTTCCCACTTTTGATTTGTCTGATGGCCATCTTGACTTCTTCGATCGTTGGTGGAGTGACATCTATTGGAAGGTCTGTGTGGGCTGCTTCGATGTTTGGTGGATTCAATGGGGCTGGTCTATTCAGCAGTTCCTCAAAGTATTCTGCCCATCTTTTCCTCTGTTCTTGAATCTCAGTGATTGTCTTTCCTTCTTTGTCCTTGACTGGTCTTTCTGGTTTGCTATATCTCCCTGCCAATTTTTTCGTTGTATCATATAGTTGTTTCATATTCCCTTCTCTTGCAGCTTTTTCCGCCGCCGTTGCTAGTTCTCAACTCCGCCTGTAGCTCTTCTAGAGTTACTGCCGGTCCCAAGCCCGGGTAAAGGAGGAGGGTTGGGCATGGGGTTAGCGACCCCATCCCGTAGAAAAGCTAACTCGCTAAAAAAACGCTAACCAGAAAAAAATAATCCAAACCATTTAAAATCTGCCCTGGGAGTTGAAGGAATAATGACGTCTCATGATGAAAGCCGAAATTCTTCGGAAGTCACGAGACCGATGCACCTTCTAACAACCAGAGCAACACTTTATAGGTACATGGAACGTCCGGACAATGTGGGAAACAGGAAAGACCAGCCAAATAGCAATGGAAATGAGGAGATACAACTTGGCAGTACTCGGAATCAGCGAAACCCATTGGACACAAACTGGACAACAAAGGCTAGGTACAGGAGAGATGCTGCTGTACTCCGGTCACGAAGGGGAAAATGCGCCACACACTCAGGGAGTTGCTCTAATGCTGTCCAGAGAAGCACGAAATGCACTTGTGGGATGGGAATCTCATGGACCCAGGATAATCAAAGCATCATTCAGAACAAAGAAGCAAGGGATCACAATGAATGTTATCCAATGTTATGCACCCACCAATGATAGCAACGACGATGATAAAGATCAGTTCTATGAAAGGCTGCAATCAATTATAGCAAAGTGCTCACGAAAGGACCTCACCATCCTTATGGGAGATCTAAATGCTAAAGTTGGAGTGGACAACACAGGATATGAAGATGTAATTGGACGACATGGACTAGGAGAGAGAAATGAAAATGGGGAGAGACTTGCAAACCTATGTGCT